ATCCACAAGAATTAGTCAGTAAATCCCATATACATATTTAGCATCTCAAGAGTCTTCAGTTTCTGCAATCACGTTGAACGCATAGACAAGACTGATGAGTAGGCTAGAAAAACAAATTAGTCCTGCAGCATGAACCCCATTTAGCATAATCTTTTTTAGAGGTGAAGGGACAAAGAATTGTCTTCACCAGGTATGCATGATAAGCTGCATTTCTGAATAGAAAAGACATGGTTTCTTAAAAAAGCTAATGAACAGGAGACTTCCAAGTTCTTCCATGACTGATCATCACACAGAGAAATTATTGGATTACAAAATCAGATCATTAAAAAAAATCCCAAAGAAAGAAATGAGCTGTATTGTTGGCTGAATTGAAGTGTTTGTCCTTGGGAAGACTTGCCTGTCCAGAAATTGATCCTGGTGTTGCATTTTCTATGCAATGGACTACTTATCTATTATACTTATTCTTTTCCATGGAACCTGTCATGGAATAAATGAGACATTTTGAATTATTATGCATATATAAATAAACATAGACTATCCCCATATACTTCAAAAATGGACTTTTGCTAGAAGTATAGGGACAGGTCTATTGGTAACAAGGAATCAGCAAAAACAGTAGCTTGATTAATTAACATAAGGGAAAATTCCTTCTCCATCTGTCCTATTCAGAAATGGGAACAACCACATTCAATGGATCTTATTCTCTGAAATTTCTCTCCTTCTGCCTCCTCCCCCATCCCCCCTCAGCTTAATTGCTTCCAAAAAAAGTCCATGAATTAAACAGAATCTGGAATCATGCTGTCTGGGAACTCATAGATATTCTTATCATGAATGGGGATTTTGCATCATTGCTTCTGCAGTCAGAATCCGAGTGCTGTTGACACAAGGGCAGGAACACTAGCAGTACAAGCAACAAGCATCTTGAAACAAATGATTTTTTTATTATTACATTATGAATGACTGGAATCAAATATGTGCAGATGATGCCTGTCAGTGATATCTGTTGTCTAGTCTTCTTCTCCCAATGAAACAGAGCATCTATTTATTTACAGTAACTTATAAAATATATCATGTCCCAAATATTTCAGGATTAAATAAATAATAAAAGAGAGTAGAGAGAGAATATTGCAGGATATAAAATATTGGAGTACTGTATATATGTAATCAATTATATCACGGGTGTCGAATTCTGGCGTCACATTGCAATTATATGATGTTTCATAACATTTTTTCCCTTCACCGAGCTGGTGGGCATGGCCTGTGTGTGATGCATCTGGCCCGTGGGCTGCCAGTTTGACACCTCTGAACTAGATTGACTCAATTTTTGAACCAAGGTACCTCAAATGGATTTCTTATAGAAAGTGTCCAAAATCCAGCATCCATGACTCCCAAGGGAATAAAACGTGGGGAATTGTAGTTGCTTCTGTGCTACTGACTCTGTTGCATTGCTGCTGCTGCTGCTGTTGCTGCTGCTACTTCATATGATCTTCATTTTCAACTTTCTGTGACAGTTTCTGTCAGTCCCACAATCCCTTGCTCCTCCCTCACCGAGCAACTAGGAATCCCTTGCTCCTCCCTCACCGAGCAACTAGGAATCTACTCACCATATGATTCTTAAAGAAGCATTAACTTTAAGATGTACAAAGAAAAGCCTTGATATTTTTATTGCTTTGTGTGAACTCTGATGCACAAACATGCACATATATCTATATTCCATCTTTTTTCAGGAATTCAAGGCACATACATACATATTCACTTCCAATATTTCTTCACAACCCTGTGAGGTACGCTGAAAGTCACCAAGTGAACTGCTGTGGCTATACATTTAATTGGATCTCTCTGATGTCAGTCAAATACACTCGTCATTGTAATTTAGTCCTTGCACATCCTATTTCATTTTTCATGTGAGGAAGCAACTTGGGTGACTGCTGGTGTGAGAGGGCTAGAGGGTGTCAACATATGAGCTCTCTTTCTCCCTGGAGAAAGAATAGGAACCAGGCAGAATGGGAAGTGGAAGTGCAGTTTCCTTGTGATCCATAGTTTTTTTTGTTCCCCTTCCCCATAAACAAGTGGCAGGCAGTTCCACAGGTCATCCAAGGAGAAGGAAGAGGAAGAGGTAATGGTGCAAGCTTATAATATGTGGAAAGAATGAAGGGGCACCTGTGATGCCTGCTGACCAAATAGGGCTGGCTGGTGATGCCAGCAGTGCACAGATGATAATCATTAACACATTCAAAAGTGACATTGTCATTCAATTTATCATAGGATGAAGATGTCCATCTTCAGCAGGTAATCATTCTTTGCTCTCACTATACATAAAGTGCAAGGACAAAATATGGAAAGTGTGCTGATTTATCTGGAGAAACAGGAATTCCAGCATGGTCACTTTAAGCTGAGGAAAAAGAAAATAGTATTTTTAAAGAATGGCATATCAACCCTAATGATATCATCAAAAATGTCTTTTGTTAAATGAAAAGCATCTATATTTGTCTTGCTATGCATGTTCTTTCTTTAATAAAACGATCTTGTCTTTTTTTAATCTTAAGACCAAAACAATAGCAATGTGCCTGTGGTCACTTAATTACTCATATGGTAATTCTGACAATGGTTCATTTTTAAAAATATGAGCGTGTAAAAATAAATTTTCTGGCATGCACTAAGTGACATGAATTATCCTGTTTTCCCAACCATTGTGTTCTATTACAGTAGTTTATATCCTTTTGACTGAGCAACTGCACTATACTTTAAAAAAAAAATTACATTATAGAATCCAGAGATTTGTGAGGTTTGGCAAAAGGCCCCAAATTCAGGCACTTAAGTACAAATTAAGTGAGGGAGATGGAAATACAAATTAAGGAAATATCTAAAGTTGCAAACACCTGATAATAAATAAGATTAAACAAATCGCTTGCAAGCTATAATACATAAATCTTTAAAGCTTTTCCTACTGCTTTTAATTAAATAGTCCCCATTTCAGTGTAAATGTGTATGCCATTTTAGAAAGACAGGGTAAAATTGTCAGAATCAAAGGCATTGTTGTAAATTATTGAGAGAGAATGCTGCCAAACACCATTGTCCTTCCACCAGAGGGCATCCTTAGTAAAATCTTTCTGTCACAGAAAAAAAATAATCTTTAGACCTCATCAAGAAGACCAAATACATTTATCACAGCCCCAAACAAAATTTTCAAACTGATAGACCGAATCCTTTATATCACTGTTATAAGAAAACATTAGAGAAAACCACTGTTGGATGAATAAGAAATAAAGCTGAGCCTTCAAGAGTATAACTGTTACTGTGAGTAAATTTTTTTATTTTACCCATATTTGAATTCAACAAATTAAGAGGAATGATAATATTTTCATTAATTGTAAAATATTTTACCAGGCTACATTTGAATACCAGAAAACAAATGTGAAGATAAGAGTGGAAGATGTTTAATATAAACCTGCCAGTTATTCAAGCTGATAAGCTGTGTGAAGAAAGAAACAGGTGTTAATCAAAACTTCACATTTAATAATTGTTAGATTGTGCTCCATGTGCTTGCCAGCCAAGCTGCATTAATAATACCTAAGTTTTTATTTCCTACTTGACACACCACCATGCTCTTCAAACCTTCCCCAGATTACATTCCTCTCCTAACCCTCTGAAATAGATTTGGCACAGCTGTGGACTCTGTGTTTCCAGCAATAAGTAGATATTGTTTAATAATATAATATATTATTTGTATAATATAATGTCTATATTGTGACACTTTCCTGTCCTATTATACAAAGAAATTAGATGCAGCCCCATTTGCTAAGCTTTGGTTGATTTGCTGATTTGATTACCTAGATGTCCTGCTTCATAACATAAAAGGACATATTCTCTTGGCAAGAAGTATTCTGACAGTTTTGTTTTACTGCAGCAAGCTATGGGAATGTTAGGTGGTGTTTGCACTGCGCAACTGGGTCACTCTATGCGTCAAAAAATGGAGTCAGACATGGAAATCCTAAAATTAATTATCAATGTCTTGTAAAACCCTATTTTCTTTGCAAAGTGCATTGCTCTTGGAAAACCTGGAGATGGCGAATCTTGACTGGCTCCTTTTGGTTTCCATGGTACCCACTCTTCATTGACTTCACTGTAATGAGTCCGCCCAATTCCCCTAGAACGTTGATGGTGGAGCAAAGCTTCCGATTGCGCTCTCCGTGGTGCTGAAAACAATCTAGAGGACACTGTATTGACACGGCGCTATTGATGGTGCTGAAATCTCTGGGGGCAGGGAGGAACGTTGAAGAGGACGTACAGTAGAGAAGAGTCACCCTTTGCGCTAAGTGTGATCCTCCCACATTGACTTTAATTTACTCTTTCCAGCCCTGAAGGAAGTAGCTGATATATTGCACACAATAATGAAATGCTAGTGCTGTCTCTGTGCCAGAGTATGTAGCACAGTTATCAGGGATTCACTCAAACTGGTGTGAGGTGAGCACTGGTAAGGATTCTATGCATATGGGATTTATTGTCTTTGACGACTCTCTACCTCTATATACACAACCACAGCAAAATAATCCACACCAGATCAGGATTATATTTACATTAGACTTTCAATCAAAGCTCCTTCAAAGTACCAATGGTTTTGCTTGTCATTTTGCTAATGGATTCTTCATCTTTAAGAGGACCTTTTAGTTCAGTCTCACAACTTCTGTTCTTTTAAAAAACCCATGGGCTTCAGGTAGACACTCAATCTTCTCTTCTTTTTTTTCTGGCTCTGTTTCTTTCCGCCTCACCCACAGATATCCATCTACAGTGTCTCTCTCCTCTCTCACACACACACTTTCTCTTACACACATTCACACACACACAAACACCCGCACGAAGACTTTGACTCATCCTTTTATCTGGATGAACAACATTCTTTTATGGAAAAAAGTTTAATATGGAACCGATATGATCCATCTTCGAGGCTTGTAAGGGCATCCTTGTTAACCCGGTGAAAGACAGTTGAAATCTTTACAGGAATGGAGTCGGTAAAACAAAGGATTCTGAATCCTGGGAAGGAGAAACTGAAAAATCTTGCTGGGAAGTCACTCAGTCAGATCTATAGGTAAGGAATGTTGTGTGTGTGTGTTTTCTTTTCTTTAAAAAATGACACTAATGTGATGCTTAGTGAGATTCTTATTTCCACTTCTTATTATAGAGGATAAATATTGTATTCAAGATCTATATCTAAAGTTATGTGTTTATTTTCATTGTGCTGCTTGGATATTGTTAATGAGGACTCTGAATTCGAAGGAAGGAAGGAAGGAAGGAAGGAAGGAAGGAAGGAAGGAAGGAA